CCTGAGACCATTCCTCCGCCCCCACCCCCAACACAGAACTACCGTGTTTTCCCGAAAGCCACAAAAAGGGGGCGCGGAAATCCCGACCTCGCGGGGCTAACTCGGTGAACACAAACTCAGGGCAGACGTACGCTGTGCAGGGATGTGGGGTCTCGAGAAGCCCCAAACAACCCGGCTTCTCCTGCGACCCCCATCTTCCCTGGCTCCTGGTTAGACATTCATCCAGCCCCACGCTCAGGAAGGCGGGGGTTACCCCAACTCGTCCCGGAAACCTCTAACTTAGGAAATCCCTCCCGTTAGATTCGCAGAACGGAGGTACCTCGTCATCTCGGCGGGGCAAGTCCGGATTCCGCCAGGGCAGGTCCAGGAGGTCACCCGGGGCAGGCAATCCGAGGAGCGCTTTACAATCCTGCCGCCGCACGCCTCATACGAGCACCCTAGGCGCGCCTGCCCCTTCGCGTCACCATTCAGTCTCCGATTCGCCGACTAAACTTTTGGGGGACCACATCTCCAAGGCTTGGGAGTTCCAAGCTAAGCCTCCCTCTTTTCTGAACCTCTTCACTGGAATGTAATCATGGGAAGATAAGAGGGGTGGCTGCCTTGTTCTTTGCAACGTAAAATCAACAGACACCCAATCAAGCTCCAATGCCCGGCCAGCCCCTCGCCCCCTGGTGCCCACTTTCTCTCGCCCCTATTCCCATCGCCTCCGCCCACCAGTTCTCTCCCAGACTCCAGGTGTGCAAGGCCATCTACATGTGCCCAGGAAAAGCAAATCACTAAAGTGCCCTGAAAAGGAACCGTGCACCTGGCTGTCCCCTGAACGGTTTTAGGGAAGAAAACGGAAAGGGGAACAAAATCAGGGGAATTCTCCTTTTTCCGCCAGCACAGCTTTTGGGGAGAGTTTGGGAATGGGGGCGCTTTTTTTTTTCTTTTCTTTTTTTGCCTGTGGTTCGACACTTGCTCTTCTCTTTCTCTCTTTCCGCTGCTCGGCGGCGAGTCTTACCCTGCTCCCCGCAGAGGGCGCGGTGAGGAAGCCCGCGGGGGGCCCGCAGCTCCATGTCAGCGCCGCCGCCGCCGCCGCGCGAGGCGAGCACCGCGGCCGCACTTGTGGCTGGTCTCCGGGCTGAGGGGGCTGAGTTGGCCCAGCCCGCGCCAAGTCTCTTCCATGTGAATAACAAATACTCCCACCGGCGGCCGCGATTGGTCTGCGCCCGGCGCCTCCCGATCCTCCGCCCGCGGCCATTCACCCGGCGCGGCGCGGGGAGCCGCGGCCGGGATCGCGCCCGGGATCGCCGATCGCTTCGCGCCAACCAGTCACCTCGGGAAGCGGGCGGAGTAACCCCGAGGGGCGGGAGCCCCTGGATTTCGATGTCTCAGAGCTGCCCGGGCGGTGACAGGGAGAGGGACACGGCAGGCGGATCCCCCCTGCACCGCGCGCTACATCACCTCAGTCCTTGGCGACGCGGGGACCAGAAATGTCAATAGTTCTGATTTTAAAAATCACCCATCCGCCCCGCCCACAACAAAAAAGGGAGGACCTAAAGAACGGGGATTGGAAGAGGGGAGAGTGGCGGGGAAGGTAGGAAGAAGTGCGAGCGGCTGCAAGGAGGAATATGGCTGTGAAGGAGCTGAGAGCCTCCGACTGCCAGGCGAGCCCGCGACCCGCGCGGGAAGCGCCGCATCGAGGCCACCCGGAGCACACAACTGGGACCGCGAACCCGGGTTCTCCTTCGTGAGCACCGCTCCGAAGAAGTGTCACCGTGAAAAATGCATGGTAGACGGCATATGTCCCGCCCCACGCTTTCCTGTCGGGGATGCAAAAAGTAAAGGCGTCAGCCTTGCGCTTCCCCCTGCGAAGTTTGCTCGCGCCGCGCTGCCTCTCGGCCATGCGTCCTGCCCCGCGGTTCGAACGATTGTCTCCCCGCCCCGGCCCACGGCTCTCGGGGGCGCTATCTACTGAGCCCCCGCAGCCCGAGCGGGGACGGAAGATCTGCCCGCTGCAGGCCCAGCGCCGAAGGTGGCGCGGGCGGGCTCGGTGACCCGCATCTTACTGAGCTGGTTTAAGGAGCCGCAGACGCGGGGCAGGAAATTCCTGGGGACCCGCGCCGCGCGGCTCCTGGGTTTCTGAGGGGAAACCTCGGGATTCCCTTCGCCTCCAGCCGATGGAAGCCCGCCCGCCGGGCTCGACGTGTAAGCCCAGCGGCCCTCCGCACGAGTTACCGCCCAGGCACCCCGCACCTGCCGGGGCGGGGGAGTGGGGGAGGGAGCCCCTCGCCGCCCGGCGCCCGGGGAGCTGCGGCCGGCCGGGCCTTGTGTTGGTGAGAAAGTTCCATCTAGAGGCGGCTGCGCGCAACTGCAGCCGGCGCCCCAGGCCCGACCTCCTGCCCTGGCCGCGGGGTGAGCCAGGGTTCCAGTGCCGCCACTCCCCACGGCCTAGACCGCGTGGGAACGCTGGGAGAGAGGGGGGCCAGCCAGCGCGACAAGGGGAGGATGGAGACGGGCAGGACAGGCCTCGTGCAAGGCAGACCGTCTCCTCTGGTTTGGCATCTCTGCAATGAATCATGACAGGCACCTTGGCAGTATTCTGCATATTGCTTGTCCCAGGTGGGCTGCTGCTGTAATTCTCACGCCAACTCTGTGAGGTGATCAAAATTACTAAGTCCACTCTACAGGTGAAGAAGCAAACCGAGGCTTAGAGACACAGCTGGAAAGTACTAGAGCCAGAACTAAAAGCTGCCTGGCTTCCAAGCCCCATACACTCTTCTTCTCTGAGATCGTTGCTTTTCCCAAGGCTGGCATTAGGGTGCCAAGTCTCCTCTTTCATAAAGCAACCCCTGCCCTTTGTCACTTAGAAAAATCTGCAGGTTTCCAACCCAGAAGATCTCTTCCCCTTTCATTTCTGTCTCTTCCCGCTCCCTTCCCTTTCCTCTCCCATCACCACATGAGGAGCTAGTTGATTCTAGAAGCGTCATTTTATGGCCACAACCACCTCGAGGGAGGATGGAGCGTTTGGAGAGATAAAATAGACTGGGTCCCCTGTCCTCAAGTTTCTATGTAGGGATCCTCAGTTCACTGTGAACGCACAGCACAGCCTTGAAGGGAGTGACCAGCCCGCAGTGCAGCCTGGGGCAGGGACAGGGCAAAGAGAGAAGTTCACTGATACAGAGAAGGGGCTGGGAGGGCTCATCCATCACTTGTCTGCACATGAAGGTCAGGGGACTTTCTCCTCCCCCAAGAAGAGTGAAGGTGATTTCCATAGCAGACAGCCCACCCCACCCTACACTGCAGAATGGTGACATCTGTCTCCGCAGAGCAATTAATGCAGGTGTATGGATCAGTCCCTCTCTAAACCCTTTACAGTGTGTTCATTAATACATTTGAAGGAGAGGATGGGCAGAGCAAGGCTGAAGGTACCCTGAGCCCACAGAGCTGCAGACCACATCATGATCTTCAGGGTCTGCTTGGAGGCCAGCTGTGGGTCCAGCAGGGCTGGCGCCCAGGCGAGCACAGAGGGCAGCACCCTGGCACTCTAGTGGGCCCATCTCCGTAACGAGGATGGCACAGCCGGCTGTAGCTGTGGAGGCCTGACAAGGCTGAGTGAGCCACTCTGAGCTCAAATGCCTAATGAGCGCCTTTCTCTTTCCCCTATTGATCACCACCTGTGGAGAACTAGAGTCCTACAGGCACATCGCTGCCTTTGGAGGGGGTGGGCAGCCCTCTGAGAGAGGGACAGAATTGATCTCTCCTAAGGAAAGAAGAATTTTGGTGTCCAGTTTTGCATCATCTTTAACTCTTGAAAGTCAGAATGGGGCCATCATCCCAGTCCCATGTGAAATCTGGTCAATAGGGAATAGATTCATTCTACAGATTCTGGAGTGTTTCCAGTAACTTTATCTGGTGGCCCCTGAGCAAATGACAAGCTCATACACAGGTTAGAATCCACTCAGACTGATAGCAACATCATGGCCCAGGAAGAGAGGTTGTCTCCAGAAGTCACTGGTCCCTGTCAGTAACACACGAAAAAGGCACAAGGCAGTCCAGCCCCTACTCAGCGATTCCCGAGCCACGGGATACTACACTACAAAAGGAAACGTGCCTTTGGAAAGTGTCTGACCTCATCATCCATCCCACCCCAAATATTTATGCAAACCAAGTCTGTTTCCTGGTGGTTAATCCTCCAAGAAGATTTGCCTATAATCTTCTCATTTTCCGTTGATTTAAAACGTGAAAAACTGCCCATGTGTTAGAAAATGCAAAAAACAATGCCATATGTTTGGGGTCCATTTAACTCAAGCTGTGATATGTATTTCACACATGGAGATTTATGCCACGTTCCTGCTTTGGGGTAATCATTGAGCCTCGGAACCTTTGCAGGCTACTCACCCGGGAGGAATACTGACAGCACGAAGCTCCCACATGCAGGAAAGCTGACAGGAGAAAGTGGGAATAAAATTTGTTTCTTTTGGAAACTTAGACAATATTTTTTTTACCAGGCCATCTGCAAGTGGCGGCAAGTGTACTGTGTGGGCTTTGCTCAGTTTATGAAAGCACTGGCTACTAGAAGCAAGACCAGACATGTGAGACCGACAGACAGGGCGGGGCCGGTGAGGCTCAGGACAGCAGTGTGCCCCTCACCCCACAGTCAGCTCATGCCCGCGTTCAGGAGCCACAGGAGGGGTTCGTGAGCGGGTATCTACCACACGGTGCACATGCATCCCTGCTGACTTCATCTGGGTTCCCCCAGAAGCACCGCCTGAGACAAGGATTCAAGGGCAGGTAGCTTACTTAAGGGGTGAAGGAAGGCCCAGTCGAGTGGGGAAGGGAGCCAAGAAAAGGTGCGTTAGCAAGCCGGCTGCCCCTGCGGGGCCTGGGGATCTGTATGTCTTGCAAACATTCCAGGCAATGGGATTCTGATGACTTTTACTGAAATGGGAAACCCGCTGCTTTCAGGAAATCATTCTCCTCACAGGCAATCAGCAGGCAGTGCATTTAAATATATAAAGACTTACTTTCAAAGCCTAAGGAGGCAGACCTTAGAAATCAGGAGTCCAGGGAGGGGGGCCCCCCGTGCTGCTCATGTCTCTGCCCACAGAAGTGCCTTGTTCTTGCTTTTCCATCTCTTCTTAAACTGAGGAAATTCCATCCAGTGTTTTCTGAGGGGGGAAAAAAGACTTGAGTTCCAGCCCTAACGTTGCCATTAACAATCATATCATCTTGGACATTTAACATTTCTGCCCCTCAATTTCTTACCTGTAATCCGGGGGTGGCAAAGACAGATGCCTGTCTGGTCAGGATTCATGCTCCCTTATTGGTAGTGCGGAGCTGTCACTGGAAAGGGGCACACAAAGACACACACAGACACACAGACACACACACAGAGATATACAC